TCTAAGTAAATTGTCTCATTGGCTGCAAGTCTAAGTAAGAAGTAAGCTGTCTCATTGGCTGCCAGTCTAAGTAAGCTGTCTCAATGGCTGCAAGTCTAAGTAAGCTGTCTCATTGGCTGCAATTCCAGGTAACTTGTTGGCTGCAAGTTCAAACTGTATCATAACACTTTTCACTAAATACATTACTGTTTGATGATGAGTAATGATCTACACTTTTGATCTTTGACTTATCCTGTGTTCTAAAATTTGACATATTCTGCATTCCTATAATTAATTTTTGATTTTTTTCTGACTGTTTCTGATATCGGTTTCAGCATCCAGTTCCACGTTTTTGAGGTGACAGGCTAGTTGCCAAGATTCTCAATATACACACCAATAAAGAACAACCCAGACCAGGAGCCGAAGAGTTCCTGTACATTCACGGTCAATGACCGCGTGACCAGGGTAAGGCCAACCGAATTAAACTTTAGCTGTGTTTTATATTCACCAATTTTTAATTGACCAGGTATTATTAGGTAATATATTAAACATTTTTGCGTAACTTATCATCCATAAATGTGTTTAGCATTAATGCTACTTAATCTGAAGATTTAAAAAATTCTGCAAGAACTTTAGCTAGTGAAGGTGTTAAGCTATTGTATGAATGAAATACCAACTTTTGGATATGTTAGCATTGCCAAAATTTGGCTATTAAGTATTTTTGCTCAAATTAAGGTGGCTAAGATTTGGTGTGTCAAAATTTTGACGATCCTGTGTGCTAAATTTTGGTACTTTACAATACCTATAGCTATGAAGTTTCTCCATCAGTCCTGCCTGAAAAACAAACCATTCCATGTTTTGCTGACATGAAAAGTATAGCCAGTAATTGATGTATAATAATTGAGTTGGAGGACGGTCTGCCGATATCCCGATGTTGTGACGATATATTTTGGCATCATGAAATGTTTTGTGTGTTAAATTTTGGCTCGTTCACTCCAAGAGCCTAATAAACCAAAATATAAGCCCATCCAAAATATCCCAAAGTACGGTACTGCAATATTTCCAATGTTTTATACTTCATAAATAATTGTTTTTATTTTAGTCCAGTGTATGACGTTAGGCACTAGTCTTATGACCACGACTAGTAAATTTAAGTCGGGACTAGTATTGAAAATATTTAACTAGTCCGACTGGACTAGTGGCAATTTTTCTCCAAAATAATGGAAATATTATTAATTGTATACATTTAGCAAAATTATCGTAAAATATGGTATTTGTCGAAGCGTTCGAAATTGAAGCATAACTTACTTAATTAACTGTAGAATGTCAACATTAAGTTTTTGCATTTAAGTTAGGTTCACTGAAAGTATAAGTGCTAGACCAACAAAACTTGGACCATAGATGTATATTAGGTAGTACATCTCAACCCATGCATCAAATGCTGGATGCGGCCTATCTTTCATGGTCCATTGACTTTGCCAGCATCTCCATCAACATAAAGTTTTTGCGTTTAAGTTAGTTTCTCTGAAACAATAAGTGCTTGACATGTGCATTGATGGTCAAAGCGGGGCACAGGCGAGACATATCAATCTGAGTGGCTTATTTAAAGTTTTGCTAGATAATGGTGAAGTAAACAAGACTCTTAATACGTTTGGGCTTGTTTACTCCAGGTGTTGCTGCGGATAAACCAGAACCTCCTGTTACAAGATGACCTTACCTGTGAGGGGTCAAACCTTCACTTCAGCTTCCTGTCTCTGAGGGGGTCCGGTCCCCTGCTAATTAAGATGGAATCCTCTGGCCAGGTAAACCTTACAGTATTATATATACTAACAATCATCGTTCTGTACATCAGTGTTAATTGATGAGAGATAAGTTTTGTAAAGATAGCTTCACTTAAGGATCCCTGTGCCACTGCAGGAAAAACATTAGAAACTTCCACTGTGACTTTTCGAAGATACAGTTATCTCCCCTTATTTCGTTTTGTATGTTACTGTAGTGTAGTGCTATTGGGTTTGGACATTTCTGTTCATAGCAACAGTGTAACAGTCTGAGGTCCATGGTTTGAATTCCCACCTAGCCCCACTGAATTTTTACAGTTACTCTAACTATGTATTCCAGAAGAGCTGAACATATCCTTCGCTTTATATACAACAATGTATCCAAAACCACAATCTGACAGCTAGCCACAGAACATTTAATGTCCTCCATTGTCGAAAGCTTATCCTGGTTATAGGTAAGCTCTACTCATGTGATATAGGTCCTAACATTTGTTCTTGTACTTATCATGATTATATCTTTAATTTTGTTAAAAATTGATATTCATTAAAACTTGGATATGTCACTGGGACCAATACAAATATTCAACTTATTCAATGGTTCGACTCTATGACTGGAGATGTATTCCGTTAACTGTTAGAGTATCATTAAAATGAATAATCAAAGGGTAATCATGATATTTTTCTACAGTAAAATAAGAAATAAGATTTTATAGCAGTTTAACGAATTTTACTAACAGATACTTGTTTCAAACATCGACAAATTTCATACGTGTAGATACATTATTGTTCTTGTTGAAAATGCAACTGTAACATAATTGCTCAAAGCACATTAAAACTCTCTTCCCCATATAGTATAACATCTCTTACCCCATAATGACGCTTCATGACGCAACGGTCATTTCAATAATGACACCGATTGACGCCTTCAGAATGTGTTTTTCTTAATGGGAATTTCCCCACTGCTGTGCTAAAAAAACCTGACCAATGAGGTTTTAGATAGATAACATCATACCAGTAGACTGATAATTCTCGCAAGAGTTTACACCGCAACGTGATAATGACACAAGGTGACCTTCCAGGCGTTCCTTGAAATTATAAACATGAAACATGGATGCCGATTTTATGCTAGAATCTGACATCATATTCCACACACATACCTTCGTTTACCTGGCAGACGACACAGGTGTAAGTTCTGCTGAAGGAACAAAGTTAGGAAAGAAACGGTGCAGGGGTGCCATGTTTGTAACATTCATATGTGCCATGACTGTTTCTTGGAAAAACATTGAAATATCCCACGTGTTTATACATAATTAGTTACTGTTTACCTGAATTCATCTGTGTCTCACAGGTATTTTACCTTTAAAACTTGAATTAAAAAACAAACAAGCAGAACCAAGTTAGTAAATTTCATCAAGTTTATTAAATTGTAATCACTATGGTGTCATTATGGGGAAAAGAGTTTTAAACACACTTGTACAAGATAAGAAATAAGAAAACAGTTACTGTTCTCACATTTACCACTAAAAACATTTTTTTACTGTACTCACATTAATAATAAAATACATCAACAGTCCTATTAAATTAAACCTCAATGGGTCTTGAGACAAATTTTATGAACTGCTGTTTAGATAATTTCTAAAATATTGGTCTTGTGCAAGTCTAACACCAAGATTTTAAAGAATTAAACCTCAAATTCCCCTATTGGGCCCCTCAACTCTGCACCCAGAGGGGCCACACCCTGCAATTATACAAAAATAAGTCCCCTATGCCCAAGGATGTTCCAGGCAAAATTTGAATGAAATCTCTCCAATGGTACAGATGAAGAAGGATTTTGAACACATAAACCTCAAATTCCCATTTTGAGCCCCACCCCTCTGCATCCAAAGAGACAAAACCCTTTGTTATACAAAATTTAGTCCCCTTTGCCCAAGGATACTCCAGGCCAAATTTGGATGATATTCCTCCAATAGTACAGAAGGTGAAGGATTTTAAAAACTTAAACCTAAAATTCCCCTTTTGAGCCCGCCACTCTGCACCCAAAGGGGCCATACCCATTGTTTATACAAAATTAAGACCCCTTTGTCAAAGGATGCTCCAGGCCAAATTTGGATAAAATCCCTCGAATGGTACAGAAGGAAAAGGATTTTAAAGATTTCAATCTCAAATTTGCTGTTTGAGCCCCCACCCTCTGCACCCAAAGGGGCCACACCCACCGCTTATACAAGATCGAGTCCTTTTTGCCCAAGGGTGCTGCAGATGAAATTGGGATAAAATCCCTTAGTCCCTATGGTAGAAGAAGAATTTTTAAGGTTTTACCTCTCTTTCCCCTATTGGGCCCTGTTTCTCTGCCCCCAGGGGGGCCACACCCACTGTTTATACAAAATTGAGTGCTCTTGGCCCAAGGATGTTCCAGACCAAATCGTGATGAATTGTTTTAATCCCTGTTGTAGAAGAAGGATATTAAAGGTTTACCTCTATTTCCCCTATTGGGCTCGACTCCTCTGCTCCCAGAGGGGGGCACACCCACCATTTATACAATATTGAGTCCCCTAGGCTCAAGGATGTTCCAGACCAAATTGGGATGAAATTCCTTAATATCTGTTGTAGAAGAAGGATATTAAAGGTTTACCTCTATTTCCCCTATTGGGCCCCACCCCTCTGACCCCAAAGGGGCCACACCCACCGTTAATGCAAAATTGAGTGCTCTTGGCCCAAGGATGCTCCAGACCAAATTGGGATAAAATCCCTAATCCGTATGGTAGAAGAAGGATTTCTAAGGTTTAACCTCTATTTCCCCTATTGGGCCCTGTTTCTCTGCCCCTAGGAGGTCCAAACCCACTGTTTATACAAAATGAGTGCTCTTTGCCCAAGGTTGCTCCATACCAAATTTAGTCAAAATCTACTTGGTCGTTCAGGACTAGTAGCGTTTTTAAGGAAAAGCTGACGGACGGAAGACGGATGCTGCGGTATGGCATAAGCTCACCATGGTCCTTCATATATTGAGTCCAAGTTCAGTAGAAATGTAAATATTATTGTTTAAATCATGGAAAGTCTAAATTCTGCACTTGAACTCCTTTCGTAAACAAAGAATCTTGGCAGTCGATTGATAGTCGCTAAGCAGGAGTGAACGATAACGGAATTGTCATTGCTGGCTGATCAGGACCTGGTCGTCTGCTCCAGAATGAGACAATTTACCTGAGACTGATTGGCACCTTTGACCATTCGACATAAGGGACTAGAATATTTCAATTTCAACAAATTTTATTTGCATAAAGAATATTACAATGTTAAAAGGATTAGACAACAGGCTTAAAGCCTATATCAGTCCTCACCCTTGGTGGTATATATATAGACATATTGTATTGATATTATAATTGTAAATAATTACAATTTTGCTTACTCTCAATAATTAATCATGAGAAGCAGGTATCATATTTGGCGTAGAACCTTTTAGACAATGCAAACATAAAGAAGATAGAGAATAGAAACCTAAGTGTACATTTCTTGACCTCGTGCAACTGGTGTATATTACATATACATAACTAATTTAGTAATGGATACAATACAATTATGTACTTATGGTGACTGATGGTTTAATTTCTTGTACATGTAGATTTAATCAAAGTTCATTTGATTTTTGTAATAATATATTTGTCTATCCATCGTGATTAAATCTGCATTTTTTGGTATAAAGAAAAGTTGCAGGTATATAAAATATATAGATAATTATATGTAATAATATGATCACAAAATAATTTGCTTAGTAATTCAGATTATACATTTCTTCAAGCCATTATCTAAAGTTTCACCGCCAATTATGTACTTAGATATATGTAATAATATGATCACAAAATAATTTGCTTAGTAATTCAGATTATACATTTCTTCTAGACATTGTCTAAAGTTTCACCGCCAATTATATACTTAGATACAATTAGATATTTATATATTGACTTATTTTACACAGTATGGAATGGGTGGGGAAAGGGGGGTATACGTAACTCCCATAACATAGTACTAATTTTGATACAGTCTGCAATATAGGTAATATATATATTATTGGTTATAAACCGCACATAATATCTAAGTGATAATAATACAATATCAGATTGAAGACCACACAGTCCTTGTGTTATGATAAGGTCTTCAACTGAACACTGTACAGGATCCAAAGCAAATGTTATTGCGGTATGAATTCACAGTAATAATGCATTTGAGTATATATACATGTATATGGTAAAATTGCCGAGTATGGGAGAATATCAGTAAGCATAACAATATCATGATAACCAGCCAGAGATGCACTCTTGTATGAATATATGTTGTTTTTATAAATGAGTGTTATTTCCAACAAAGATAGGGACTGGAAAACATGTATATAGACTCAACACAACCATTAATTGACTGTACATGTTCAAGACACCAATGCTAAATTTACAAATATAAAGAGGGTGGGGAGATCATCTGCTGTATTCAATTGAAGCACGTTTGACACAAACAAGTTTTACTGTGCTCCGGCAGGCCTTTATGTCTTCTCATTCATTCAAACTAACTGCTATTTTGTTGACCACATTCCAAATTTTGAATTTAAAAATCGGTTTCTGTGATCAGGTATCTCATTACCCATCCTAACTGCTAAAATTCCACTGTATTTTACAGCAAGGATTCTGTGGCCACTGAAATTCTGCAGCAGTGTAATCTGATACATAGATTATAAAGCAGGGATTCATCAGCAGCTGAAAACCTGTATCATATATCAAATTAAATACTTGAATGAAAATATTATTAACGCCTGGCCTGCGTCCGATCTGGATGCCCTATAGAAATCACTGTGTCTATCTGTCTGTCCATCCACACTTTAGTTTCCAGAATGCAAATGACCAATCTTTTTGAATTTTGGCAAGATAAAGCACTTTGATATGTACATGTGTAATAGGGGTTTAAATACTTTCTTAGGTAAAGGTCAAGGTCACTGTTACTGAAAATAGACCAAATGGGTAATGATTAATTGTTACTTCGGAACCAAAGACTAATCTTTTTATAATTTGACATGGTGATACTCTTGGATATATAGGTATATGGAATAGGGGTTTAACATTTTTCTTAGTTCAAGGTCGGGGTAACTGTCCCCTATCAGACCTCTGTGAGACATACATACATAGATACACCACAGCTATCCAGTTATCAGACCTCTGTGAGGCATACATAGATAGACACACCACAGCTATCCTCTATCAGACCCCTCTGTGAGACTTACATACATAGATACACCACGGCTATCCTCTATCAGACTTCTGTGAGATATACATACATAGATACGCCACAGCTATCCTCTTTCAGACCTCTGTGAGACATACATACATAGATACCCCACAGCTATCCTCTATCAGACCTCTGGGAGACATACATACATAGACACACCACAGCTATCCTCTATCAGACCCCTCTGTGAGACTTACATACATAGATACACCACAGCTATCCTCTGTCAGACCTCTGTGAGACATACATACATAGATACACCACAGTTATCCTCTATCAGACTTCTGTGAGACATGCATACATAGATACACTACAGCTATCCTCTATCAGACTTCTGTGAGACATACATACATAGGTACACCACAGCTATCCTCTGTCAGACCTCTGTGAGACATACATACATAGATACACCACAGTTATCCTCTATCAGACTTCTGTGAGACATGCATACATAGCTACACCACAGCTATCCTCTATCAGACTTCTGTGAGACATACATACAAAGATACACCACTGCTATCCTCTCAATCGCAGGATTCCATATTTGATAATCAGCCTGTGATTTTGCTGAATCCCAGTAAGCCTTGATGGCCCTGTGATTGTCCCCAAGTGTCTGGTAACATATCCCCAGGAGAGTGTGGACTATCCAGGATCGGTGTCCTCCTTGTACATTATCACTCTGGACCTCTATGAGGAGCCTTAATGCTTCATCACGTCCTGTAGTATCTCCAAGTTCATGACAGCACAGGAAGGACAGGAACAATGCATAGGGTAGTGGTGGGATAAACATTCTTATCTGTGTTCTTAATATTTCCTGACAGAGATGAGGAAGATACAAGCCTTTCTTTGAAAATGACAATATTTCTGAGTACACTTTCTTCAGCCTGTCTGAGGAATGTTCAAATTGATGATACACATGGCTATACATTGCCTTAAGCTTTTGTTCTGGATGTGAACCTCTTTTTGTGAAGTAACATGATGCTAGTTTCATCACTTGTTTGCACATTTCCAGAGTTTTAAAGAAATTTCCAGTCAAAAAATGAAAAGTTGCCAAATGTAGCAGTTCAGTTCCAATGGAGGCTTTGCGAATCATCCAGTGTTTACATTTCCTTAGACTTCTGTACCTGGTCTTGTTGTCTGTAGCAACCATGTGCTCCGGATAAACCTGCTCTGTTGCAAGATCGTGAAGGTGTTGTATAGCGTAAGTGAATGAGAAAAGTTCATCTGTTTCTGACTGTGATGTCGATAATGAATTAATTGCCTTCCTGAAGACACTTAGTTCACTCCATGAAGCTTGATACGAGACAATTATTTGTCGCAGATGGTCCATACGTTGTCTATCGTGTATGTATGCAGTGACCTGTGTAGTCCTGGGACACACAAGTTGAGCTTGTATTGAAGGATTACACAGATCTTCCCATATTGAAGGTTTGAAGAAGTTTCCTACCGAAAGACACTTCCATTTCATCTGATGGTGGTTGCTCAAAACATCTAACAGAATTTGCTGATGTTGTCCATGGACTTTCCTCTTGAATAAATTGTTGGCTGGGATGAAGTAATTGGGACAGAAACCTGCCCTGACGAAAGCAATTAGTATTTTGAAGCAAAACCAAAAACAATAAAATAGGTTTTTCTCTTGCCAGAATAGTTGGTTGGAATTCTCAATGGCATGAAAAAGGACTATCTTCAAAAAATAGGAGCACAAGATATCGTCATCCCCAATGGTCTCTTTTAATATTCCTTTTATTTGCTTCAAAAAATATTTCAGCAAAGTATACACTTTGAATTGGATGTGACTAAAGGAGTGAACTAAAGATCTCTCTGCTGTTGCAAATGAAATTCTCCATTGGAGAAAAGTGTTCTCAGAATTCGAACACTTGTCTCCAACTGGGACAAGATGACATCCATGGTGTACGATATTGTCTATCAAGGTTTGACGTGGCCATCCATACAGACGTGCACGTGTAATCCATTCATTAGCTTCCTTTGGCCAACTATGACATGGAAAACACACAACAACGTCTTCTCCACCGGTCAATGTATCTTCTATACAGGCTGGTCCATTCGATTCAATTTTCAGGCCTGTTTGTTTACCAGTGCTACTGACTAAGTGCTCTCTGAAGATATCACTGGAAACAAACATTGAATCCTCAATTCTAACTAGTGCATCAGTTAACAAATAGTGGACTCTCTTTTGTAACTGAGGAAGCTGTAAGAAGACATAGCCAGGGCGGCAATCTGCTGCTCTTGCGTACAGAATTGTTTTGTGTGCCATATTTGGAGGAAAACACTGATCAGGGTACATAACTATAACATCCTTCAAAATGATCATTATGTCTACATCTGAACCCAATAGAGTAAGTCCCTCTGCAGTACTTCCACCGTGAAAGGTAGATATTACTTCATCACTTCCAAAATACCCCATTGTAACATATGTCTTTCTTTTGATATCTACCTCTTCCTGTGTCCCTGTGCATCTCAATTCTAGGTATTTTGACAGAAGCACTGACATCCGCTCATTCTCTGTGGAATCCATCATCAGATGTTTATCTTTAGGACTTAATCTGTAATGAAGAAACTGAAGCTTATAAAGAGGAAGACTGTTGTTATCTCTGCCTTTTCATCAACTAAACATTCAGAGTGAATTGTTAAATACATCTGTATATACATGAATGTGTTTGTCAGACACTGAAATACATTGAGGATTAATCCTAAAAGCTGACTGATAGCATACAAAAATTCAAGCATCATTTATCATTCATCGGAACACCATGGGTATGTGACATTGTATTTTTACTGATTACTCAGATTCACAGTGTGTTGACATTTTCCATCCTGTTTTATATAACTCTATAGGAAATGACAGAAATCAGTGATCACTGATGTTGCCTGTCTTGAACTTATTATAGTAATGGCGGAGCATGACAGTAAATTTAAATTATGTATAATATATATTTCTTGAGTATAGCAGAAAACAAATAATTTTCACAAGTGCCAAGCAGGAGTATATTTGTATTGTGGTACGTATCGTATTGTAAGCATCAAACCGCGATACATATTGTATCCTGAGGTATTTGTATCGTTGCAGCCCTAGTTGCCATACTAGGGAATACAATTGAATTTTCTATCCATACCATTTTAAGGTCACCAGAGCCAAATGCTCAGTGTATCAATGGTATAGCAGAGCAATCACATATTCTATCGTCACTTCAACTGCGTATGTAAAACTGCAGTGAATAGAAAGTACCATTCTGATTGGTCAATATTAAAAGTGATTCTTTCACATGGGAAGATATAACATTAGCAAGTTTTTATCATATGAATAATTTCCAACNGACCAATCATTGGTTACCATTACTTAACGGATCATCAATTAATAATCGTTTTAAAGAAATACATTGTGAAATCCTCCATGCTGTTGTTGCAACTCACTAACGCAATTTTTTTTTTTTTTTTTACAATGTTAAGAAATACCTTCCTCCAAACACTGTATCACTAATTTATAGTCCTAATTAAGGTAGCAGAGTACAGTAGAAATGGCTTGACCCTAAAAATAAAGGGCATGTCTCAGATAAACATGGATAGCGGATTCATATTGCACAACACCTACACCTACACATACATCAAAAAACGCAAAAAAAATGCCAAAAAACATGATTTTTAACCCAAAATTTGACCCACGCAAGTAGTATTTTTAGGTCACCTGAGCTTTGCTCAAGTGACCTATTCCAATCACTTTCCGTCCGTCGTCGTCGTGCGTCGTGCGTAAACTTTTTACATTATCAACTTCTTATCAAGAACCAGTGGATGGAATTTTTTCAAACTTGGACAGAATCATCCTTGGTAGATGAGGCTCCCAAATTGTAAAATTGGGATTCCTTCCCCGACCCTAGGGGCCAGGGCTGGGCCAAAAAGGGAAAATTAACCAATATTTCAAAAATCTTCTTCTCCAAACTCAGAGGTATTACAGTCATTTTCTCTGCATGGATGGAAAGATCATCAGGGGCTTTATTAAAATTGTAAATTTCAGGACCCCCGAGCTATCCGTTCTCTCTTGGGGAGGGGGTAAAATTTACTTTAGTTTATATAGGGAAACAACAATTTTGGGTATATTTTGACAATTTTCTGTTGGAAATTATTTTTACTTGGTCAGAATCATCTTTGGTGGATGACGGTATCACATTGTAAACTTGGAATTCCTGCCCCATCCCCAGGGGTTAGAGCGGGGCCCCAAAGGGAACATTTACAAATATTTTAAAATTCTTATCCTTTGATGACATGACAAGTTTTGTATTTCACTTAGTTTACATGCTGATTTCCACATCACATCTAAAGAATAAAATAAAGCTATCAGTACCTATGATATAACTCAGGTGACCGCTAAGGCCCTTGGGCCTCTTGTTTTTCTTAAAACCTGTCTTAAATGGAATATCACCTACTCGGTAACAGAAATACTCACGTTTTAGCATAGGTTGTTCAACTGGATTTTTCACAATATTAACACATGTGCTGAGTACAAAAATAGACTACATGGAAAGCTAGCTTTTGTTGTGTAGACACAGATTTGCAAATGGACAAAAATGAAGTCTCAAACCAAATTCAGTTTTTTTTTTTTTTTAAATGTTAAGCCCACATAGTCCACTTCATCATGTATATGCCAATTTTATTGCTGATTTTTTAATTTTATTTTGATACATGTAATATTACATGGGTTATTCATTGTACAAAAATATCACCCATGGCCACCGTACGCTACTGTACACTGCTACCTAAGCAGGCTTGAACGTTAAAGCAAGTCAGTGATGATGTTAATATACCACCAGGAAATATATATCAGGAAAATTCTGCTGCTGAATTTGTTAGTATCTAGCTAGCAAAGACAAAAGTTCGAAATCATGAATCACTATATAGAAAAATCCATAATATCTATAATCGATCATGAATTCTGTAGTCGATTAATCATTTTATTGGCCTAACTGACCAATAGTTGACGAAGTTGATTAATCAGTTTATTGGCCTAACTGACCAATAGTTGACGAAGTTGATTAATCAGATTATTGGCCTAACTGACCAATAGTTGAAGAAGTTGATTAATCAGTTTATTAGCCTAACTGACCAATAGTCGACGAAGTTGATTAATCCTTTTATTGGCCTAACTGACAATAGTCGACATTTATTAATCAGTTTATAGGCTTTAAACTGACCAATAGTCGACGAAGTTGATTAATCCTTTTATTGGCCTAACTGACCAATAGTCGACGAAGTTGATTAATCAGTTCAATGGCCTAACTGACCACTGGTCAACAAAGTTGATTAATCAGAATTTGATTATGTCACATTGGAGGTAGTTATTGCTTACCTGCATACAGCATCAAACTTTGTAGACTTCTTGGCTTAAGATTGCAATGAATGACGACTGTACACTAATTAGTCTGTTGTTGCAGGGTGACTCGAGATCTGGGCTCTGGCTTTCAAGATAGGAACATATGTCTTGACTCGGCTCTGTACGTCTTGTCACTGGGGCTTTTAGAATGATCTGGTCTGTTTTAAGCGCTGCAAATACTTCCTGTTTCGACGGCGACGACAGTCGGTCAAGTACCACTTGTATTGTGGATAGGCGTGTTATGATATGTCAATAAACAACAAAATATTTCATGTGAAAAAGGCAAACTCTGATGCGTTTGTAATACCATTTGTATCANGGGGATGGGGGGCGGGGCCCAATAGGGGGAACACAATGGTAAATATTTAATATCCTCCTTATGTTCTGTTAGAATGAATTTTCATATTTAAACTAAAATTTGTCTTTTATATCTGAGGGAAAGTGAAATGAAAATTGTATAAACAGAGGATTTTAAACAAGTTTGGTTTTGATGAATCATTGTACAACAGGGACACAATTTTATATAACTAGGGGATGTGTATGGATATAAACAGTACACACAGACATGACTGCACTTCAAAGTCAAGTGTTTCATGTAAATAAGTTTCTGGCAAACTTTGGTTTGTGCCAGTATCAGAGTTCTCCTTTAGGAAACAAAGACTTGTAAATACACTTATTGTGTGTAACGATGATGAATATATAAGGAAGTATAACTTGTTCGACTGACTCAGGGAATTGCATCTCCCAGTACACGTTGGTCTAACATTGAACTTTGTTCCATGTGAACCTGGGGCCTTGAGAATTAGTCACCGTAATGCTCTTGAAAATTGACAGTGTCACAAATGACAGGGATGTTTTTTTAATGGTTAGATGTCGAAAATGGACTGCTTTAATCAGACCAGTGTATGAATTTTTCACAATAAAACCTGGTTCATAAAAGGTGCCTACTTATTCTAAAAAAAAAACAATTTAACAGTATTTCTACATTGAAAATTACATGTTGAATTGCTGGAATAGTTGACAGTTCCACTGAATTGGCCAAATGATAATCGCACTCATGCAACTATTATCATTAAGAAGGCTGAAGGTTTTCTGACTATTTGGTAAACCCAGGTAGGGTTACGTGACCATAGTTATGGCCCTTTGTTCATTCCTTTCTGCCGAGGTTTTGTCTCCTCCAAGTAAGGGACTATGTCCCTACTTTAGTGATGAAACAGTCAATATCATTATCATCAAAAGAGGATTTTGCAAAAGTAAAGTCATGGGAATGAAGCTCTAAACAAATGGTGTGGCTCTAATAAGGAGCATAGGACTGAGGACAAATAAGGGAAGATTGGGTATGGGTTGACAGACTTTAACTTAAAATAAGACATCCCTGGTCTAAGGGGAATACGTTGTTGAAAGAGTTAAACGTTGTTATATACGTTGTGTATAAAAGAAGAATGTGTTGACCTCCTTTGGGACTAGAAGTGGGGGGAAAATAGGGGTAATTTAAAAGACTAATCCTTCAGTACAGTTCGTTCTATATGAACATGATTTAGTATGAAGCATCCCCAGACAAAGATGGTGATGGGCAATCACTTTGAAATCAAAATCAATAATTGGTTTGTAATCGGAGGTAGTAAACCAATTGATGATCGATTGCATGATCGGTACTGCTATATAAGTATATGGGACTGAATACCCTGAAAAAGTGAAATAACGGCGGTTGCATCAATAGACAGAGTTGTTGCGTTTTGTTCTTTTATAATGAATGGATTTCAAGCAACTTTTATGCAGTTTTGTCAATCATTTAATTATACAAATTTAATTTTTAGCTCACCTGACCTTCACCAATATTCAAGGTCACAGGGGTCAAATATGTTAAAAACTTTAAACAACTTCTTCTGAATAACCAAGATGCCTAAGGTGATGATATGTGGCCAGTAGCATGCTAGGATGAAGGGCTACCAAGTTTGTTCAAATGAACTACCTTCACCCATTTGCAAGGTCACAGGGGTCAAATAAGTCAAATCTTTAAACAACTTCTGAATAATCTAAAGGTCTAGGGTAATGATACTTCAACTTGATGTCCTTGTTTGACTTTCAAGGTCACATATGTCACATGTTTAAATCTTTTAATAGATTCTTTTGAATCAAACACTGGTATTTTGCATGTAGCTGTATTTTAGTCCTCTATTAAGATTACAAGTGTAAGATTAATACCAGGTGAGCGATTCAGGCCCATTGGGCCTCTTGTTGCTAATTTTTGGGGCTACATTAATTGTAGTTTAAAATCCAAGGTGGGCATTAGTAATCTAGCCTCGGGCTGCAACTTTCAATTTCTTCTCAACTTCCATCAAGCCAGTTTCGACAAAAAAATTATGAAGAGATACTATCATGGCCCATAGTAAGTGGTGTTAATTTTGGATCAATTGAAACTTGATGAATGTTAAGAAGTTTGGTCAAGTGAATGACCTTGGCCCCTTTTCAATGTCGAAGGGGTGAAATGTGAATGGGAATGAAGTTTTAAACAAAAGGTATGGCTCCAATAAGGAGTATAGGACAAATGGGAAATATGTGTATGGGTGGGCAGACAATAAGGCATCCCTGGTCAAATGAATGACCTTGGTCCTTATTCAGGGTCATAGGGGTCAAATGTGTTCAAACTTTTTAATGAATCCTTCTGAATAACAAAGAGGCATAGAGTGATGATATTTGGCAAGTAGCATAATGGGATGAAGGGATATAAAGTTTGTTCCAATGAATGACCTTGATATACTTTGATGGTCACATACACTTTCAAGGTCACAAGGGTCAATGGTGTTTAAACCTTTCAACAACTTCTTCAGGATACCAATTAAGAGATCTAGGTTCAAACATGATATTTTGTCTGTAGTTTAACAGTGTAATGTGCTTTGAAGTGTGGGATATGTCAATTATGGAGTAATGATACTTATCTTAAAAGGTCAGAGTTATGAAATGAAGACTCTTGTTGTATAACCTGATTTGCACACTGGTGGTCATGTATTTAGAGTTTACTCTAGATACCAATTGAAAGAGAGAAAAATTCACCTGTTGTAATTTAATTATTATAACAATGAAATAGATGTATTCTGATGTAAAAATAAGAATTTGTGAGAGTGAAGCTCAACCTTGAATCCTGAATTTTTGTTTTTTTACTTTCAGGAAGAATATGAGGAAGGGCTACATGAAACTGTTCAATATGAACCGAGACCTCATCAATGGTTACAAGATCCGGTGTGGAAACCACCAGGAGTTGTTAGCTTCTCTCAAACAGGTCAACCAGGTCATACAGAAGGCTGGGCGACTCAGAGGTACGTACTTATCTGTCATCTAGAAGGCTGGACAACTCAAAGGTAAGTATTTATCTGTAATACAGAAGGCTGGACAACTCATAGGAACGTGCTTATTCATCATACAGAAGGCTGGATGACTCAGAGTTAATATTTTTCTGTCATACAGATGTCTGGACGACACAGTTGTACGTATTTATCTGTAATACAAGAGGCTGGACGAGTCAGAGGTACATGCTTATCTGTCATACAGAAGTCTAGGCCACTCAGAGGTACATTCTGATCTGTCTGACAGAAGGCTGGGCAACTCAGAGGTACATTCTGATCTGTCAGACAGAAGGCTGGGCAACTCAGAGGTACATACTGATCTGTTTGACAAAAGGCTGGATGACCCAGAGGTACTTACTTATCTATAATACACAAGTCTGCATTACTCAGAGGAACGTTCTTATCTAGCATACAAAAGTCTGCACGACTCAGATGTTTGTAATTATGTGTAATACAGAAGGCTGGGGAACTCAGAGGTACATACTGATCTGTCATACAGAAGGCTGGGCAACTCAGAGGTACATACTTATCTGTCATACAGAAGGCTGGACGACTCAGAGGTATGCACTGATCTGTCATATAAAAGGCTGGGGAACTCAGAGGTACGTACTGATCTGTCATACAGGAGGCTGGATGACTCAGAGGTACATACTGATCTGTTTGACATGGTTGATGTGGAAATACTTCGGTGTAACATAATATGTAACTTTCCAATGAACGGCTTTGTGCCCTACGCAAACAGGAAAATATCAGCGGACTGAGGCATACATGTCGTCTGCAGGTAAGGCTGAATTGAACATTGACATTGATACGTTTTGAGCCGATTGATTTCAAACTATTAATCGATGATTTAATCATAAACTAGACCGTAGCTAAGATATATCTATATGCCGACTGTGACAGTAAACATATTGAATGACGACCTGAAACCTGTAGCAAATCACATGCAATTCTTGATGAAATACCTGACCTTTTTACCTGAGAATCTTCGTGTAAATGTATAGCATCTCATGTCAAAAATGAAGTTTATAATCTCTGTTATCATTTGCCAATCACATTTGCTGACAAAAACAAATTTTAAATGATCTTTCTAACTTAAATCTGATTAATTAAAAGTTTCACCTTTTCTTACCTTTATTACCACCTGTACGGGTAAATACTGAAGCAACTTTAGAATTGAAAACGTTAAAATCAACGAGAGACAATAACGAACAATTTTCCTACAACTTTTTTTCACATATAATAAATATTTTCAAGTTATGCACATTTGAAAAATCAAGTAAATTAGTAAATTAATTTAAATTTCAATAATTAATTCAGCAGTGGTGTCCCTTTACATAGAAATCAATGTAGCAGCCTAAAGGTTAAGCAATTCACACAGGTGAAACAGCAGCTAGGGTAGCTAGGCACTGTTCTGATGTAGGTAGGTTATGCTGGAGGAAGGGCAGAGGTATTAGTTAAACAGTTGTGTTCAGTTTGGTTGCCTGGGTTTCTATAATATTTAATAGGCCTTGGGGCCTCTGGTAATGTTGTATTTCTTTCCCCATTTTATCTTGTTGATGAAATGAAACAAAATGGATATGTTTACACTTAAATCATCGAGGGAGGACCTACCTTAAAGCTGACAGTGCAAGTTAAAAATCTTTCAATTGTGAATTGAGATTAGAAAAAAAATCTAGTTCCATTCGCTTTTAATTCGTTTTCGATTGAGTTATGAAAATAATATGATAATAATATACAACATTTACATAGCACCCTATATAATTTGAAAA